GGAGGCCTTAGTTCCTCTTTCTGGACGCGGTTCCTACCGGTCTCCCCGTAGTTGCCAATGGGAGCTCATTCTTACAGAGATGCTGGTTAAAACAGGCAAAGCTGAAAGGATTTCTAGTGTCCTAATGGCCATCGTGCTGTGTCAGATGTTGCAAAGGCCAGTGGTGGATCCAGCTGCCGGCACTACTGTGCGTGCTGGGGTTGCACTGGATGGATTTGTGTTCCTGAACAGGATGGGTTTTCTTCAGAGAAAATGCTAATGCAGATGTACAAGGTAACTATCCAGAGGAAATCATTGGGCTGCACATGGGTGGACTGTTTACAACAAAACCATTTTACATGCTATTAGCAGAGACCCGTTCAACTCCACATGTTGCCTAGGAGAATAAATGAGCACCACAATTGGAGAACTATGGAAAACTTGAATGATAGGATCATTTACCTAAAAGCTGGTCTGATAATACCTTAACAGAGGAATAGAAGCTCCATATTTGTGTATCTAGTACACTAATTTACAAAACTCAAGCTAGTTAAATGTAACATAGTGAAAGGTAACCTTTTCTGCTTTTATTTTTGGCCTGCTTTTTTGCTTACACCACTTTACCTGGTCATAAGTAAATCAAGTTTAAAATGGAAGTAGTCATTTCAGTAATAGCAAATGGTGTTTAAAAATTGGCTTAGTCATCCTAGTAGTAGGAAATTCTTGATGGCTATTTAAAAAAAATCACTTAAGGTTTTTGATAAAGTGGATGTTTTGATTTGTATCTAAGCCCTTCTATTTGCAATGAGTAAGCAACACCAGTGTCTGGTCACTTAAATCTCTGTTCAGTTCTAGCTGGATGTAGCAGCTCAGCAGGCATGAAGGATCCCTGTGTAGCTCTAGAATGACTAGCACTGCTGTGGCCATTGAGCGTCTGGGGACCTCCAAGACTTTGGGGATAGTATCATATCCCTTTCTAAATGGATTTGTTAGAGGTGTATAATGGTTGCAACTACTACAATCATCAAAGTGTAGTTTGCATGTGCTTGTAAGCTGGATGCGACTCTGAATTAAGCCCACTTGTTACATGGGAGGAGGGGGGAGAGGGAGAAAAGGGGTGGTTTTCCCGGACAAAAGTGTACTGTTATAGTCTATTACACATTTGTTTAGGGAGTTTCCTTTTGGAAAAAGACAAATGCTGCAAGAGAGCACTATAGTGACTCTGTCTGAAGATGGAGTTGCATATGAGAGGGTTACTTTTCCTCTTGGTCATAGTTGTTCAGAGCTTCTTTTTTCTTTTTAGTTTAAACTCATATCCCAGGCATATGAAGTTCTGTCGGACCCAAAGAAAAGGGACCTCTATGACCAGGGTGGGGAGCAGGCTATTAAAGAAGGAGGCCTGAGTGGCGGCAGCTTCTCTTCACCCATGGACATCTTTGACATGTTCTTTGGTGGTGGAGGCCGAATGAATAGAGAGAGAAGAGGTACACAGTTCTAAACAAGTTCTAGAAACTCTAACCATGCACTTAAGCATAAAACACCTGTGCTATGGTACTGCTGTTCTGCTAAGTGCACGTAGTGTGGATATTACTCGTTGCAACAATAGAGCAAGTAAACTATGATTTTTTTTTTAATTTTTTTTTTTAGTTACTCTAGCATTAAGATTCTAATAAAGTAGATAATATGACATAGCCATAGCAATCTTTCTGATGACTTCTGTTTATTTTTTTTTTTAAAGTGGGTGTGGGTAATCTGTAAGGGAGGGGGAAACATTGGTAGGTTAGAGCAGTTGAATTAGACCTGTTTTAAGTTACCTTTATTCCAGATCTGTGCCTCACTTGCTCATATGCTTTGGGCAACTTGCTTCAAAGGACACCATCAACTTAAACTTTACTGATGTTAAATCTCATGAAAATATTTGGGAGAAATTATGTGAAACTGAGTACAGAGTGCTGCCAAAAGCACAGTATGATTTCTATCTTTTTCCATGCCCGATGTCTGTTGAAGGAGCAAGTAATAACTTGCTGTAAAACCTTCAAAATTATGCTATGAAGTGGCATGGAAATTTATAGGTAGGCATAATAGCAACTTCCAAATTGACTAGATCTGAAGCTGGTAGTGTCCTTGCATCTTGCTGTTTCAGTTAAGCTTATAAAATTAGGGGTAGGAGCAGGGATAGGGTGGCTTTAATGATGCTTTGCTTAATTACAGCTAAACTTTATGTTCTGACATAAGAGGGTGCAGCTCAGTGGAAGCTGATGGAACTGCACATGCTTTTAAGGGGGCTGAGCTGTGTTCAAAGTTTTTCACATTTCTTCAGTGAGACTGTGCATGTATGAACAAGTATAGAAGCCTTTAAATAAACATTTGTCCTTAACAACAGCTGAACCAGAATTAATCTTTCTCTTTTCTTTTTTTTTTAAAGGCAAAAATGTTGTGCACCAGTTAGGTGTATCTCTTGAAGACTTATATAATGGTATTACAAGGAAACTGGCACTGCAAAAGAATGTTATTTGTGGCAAGTGTGAAGGTAAAAAAAAAAAATAGTGGTTTTGAGCCCCTCTTACTCTAAGGTTTTTTTTTTTCCTAGAACATTGTGGGGCGCTGGGAATAAACTCTCTGTGTGTGTGTGTGTGTTGTTTTTATTTTTCTCTCTTGTTTTTTGCCCACCCCTCCAAAGTCTGCCAGGGTATTTAGTTGTTATTTATGCTTATCCAAGAATAAGGCTCTCTTCAGCATAGTGGCATAAAGTTATTGTTCTAATGGCAGACTTAAACTCACTGCATATTATAGTTAAGGGTACCTAAATTAAAAGTATCTTAATCCAGAACTTTAATAAATGGCTGTTTCGTTAAACTTTTTTTTTAATTGCTGTGGGTAGAAGTCTAGCTTGTATTACGCAACTCATTTTACAGCTATTAAGTATCCATAATGACTGGTCGTCTTTGAGGTAAATTTTAATGAGGTCTTGTATCTTAGTACTCTATTAAATATTTAGCAAGCAGATTCTTTCCAAAGTATTAATGGAATGTCTAGGTCTCAAAGTCAGTGTGCCAATAGTTCCTTGAAAACCAAGATGGGCAGTGGGGAAGAGGCTAATAAAATAAGCTGTGCATAGAAAACCTGACCTTCTTTTGTTTGTAAAAACTTCCAACTTGTGGGGCATGTTTCATGATGGAAACTAAATTCCAATTACATTGGAAATGCATTACTGAACTACTCTAAGTTGCCCTAAAGGTGCTCTTGAAGTCAATGAGTTCCAGCCTGACCACTGTAGAGTACCTTTTTTTTGAGACCGAGATAGACTGAGATCAAATTTAACTCTTTTGTCAAAGGTTATGGCGGAAAGAGAGGGGCAGTAGAAAAGTGCCCTGTGTGTAAAGGAAGAGGAATGCAAGTTCTGGTTCAGGTACAACAAATCCAAACTGTGTGTCCAGAATGCAAAGGCCAAGGTGAAAGAATAAATCCAAAGGACAGGTGTGACAACTGCAATGGCTGTAAGGTTGTAAGAGAGAAAAAGATCATAGAAGTTCATGTTGATAAAGGTAAGAACTGTGTATTTGTTCTGTGTCCCTAATCATAGTCTACAGTTCTGCAGAGATAAATGGGTTTCTTTTCTCCAGGTATGAAAGATGGTCAGAAGATAGTATTCCATGGAGAAGGTGACCAGGAGCCTGATCTGGAGCCTGGTGATGTTATAATTGTGCTTGATCAAAAGGATCACAGTGTCTTTCAGAGGCGAGGGCATGACTTAATCACAAAAATGAGAATTCAACTCTCAGAGGCTTTATGTGGTTTCAGAAAGACCATTGAAACTCTGGATAACAGAGTTCTTGTCATAGCATCTAGGCCAGGTAGGTCTTAAGAGTTCTGATGCTATATAAACTGCTTGCCTGTTTAATTGTGCCTGGACTGGGGTTTTTTTTAGGGGGTGGGGTGTGTTTTGGGTTTTTTTAACCAGTTGATGCAACAGATTCAAACTACACTTGCAGTCATTTAATTTAGTTGGTTCTTTGTCATTCTTGTCACTCTTAAAACATGACATGCAGAATTAAGCTAAAGCTGTCAGATGCTTCTTAATATAACTTCAGCCTCAGTCGGTGGATAGCCAGGAGAATATTCAAGAGGCCAGAAACTTAAACTCCACTAGATTATCTGTTCATTGAGCCTGAAGGCTGTGCTAAGAGAAGCTGATTGTCTTACAGTAGAGGAAGTAGCCTAAATGGCCTTACTTCTTTATAGCTTGGTTTGAGCACTTTTCAGTCTGCAGCCTTTTCTGAGTTGCTTGGGAGTCTCCCTCAGGTGCTGTGGGAACACTGCTTGTGTATAACCCTGCTTTTCATGGTTACGAAGTGTCTGTTACGTAAGCTTACTTCCAGCTCCTTACCTCTGTGTAGGTGAAGTGATAAAACATGGTGACCTAAAGTGTATCTACAACGAAGGGATGCCTATCTACAAATCTCCAATGGATAAAGGCAGCTTAATTATACAATTTTTGGTAAGTTGACTGCTTTTCTGTAGCAAAGATATCTGTGTTGGCATCAGGAGTAACTATTCATTAAAAAAACCTTAATTGTAGGTCCAGTTCCCAGAGCACTACTGGCTCCCAAGGGAGAAACTGTGTCTGCTGGAGGCTTTGCTTCCTCCACGAGAAGATGTTATGGTTACAGACGAGATGGATCAGGTAGACCTTGAAGATTTTGATCCAAGTGAGCAAACCTACCGTAACAGTGGGGGAGAAGTATATGAAGAAGATGAGGAGGGTCCAAGAACAGGAGTACAATGTCAGACATCTTAAAGCAAGGTGGAACGGATGTCATCTAAAATGTAAATTTTCACAATGAAAACTGCATGGCTGTAATAGCCACTGCTTGTGGTTTTTGTGTTCAGCAAATTGAGTTGCTGCGCTGTCAGTATCACCTTTTTGTAACTAATTTATATTGTGTTCTTGTAGTCTTTATATATAAAGCAAATGTCACACAGCTGAGAACCAAGTTGGTATACATTTTCCTTTGCTGTGAAGGTTCTCAATTTATTTCACCTATGCTATTTATATAAGACTTTGGCAATATTGATAGAGGCTAAGTGGAGTGTCTTATGTAAATACTTTCATACTGGAAAATTAATTTCATAGAATAAAACATAGCAGAAGATAACTTCTAATAAATAGAACTCTTCACATTTTATCATGCTTCTCTTGTACTTCCTAAGCCCCTCTAGAACCCCCTTTATTTAAGTTTCTCTAAGCTCAGACTCCTATCACCTAGTCTAGCTTGTTCTCCATGTTCAACTTTGTGTTAGCTGCAACACTAGTACCTGTCTCATTTTTGTATTTCAAAAGCATTTTGTGCATGCCCCACTCCTTGCATAACAGCATTTTTCCCTGTGTTCTTTTGTTGTATTAGAGTAGCATTTCTTCAGCTGTTTAGCTCTATGTAAGTGTAACTTGAGGTTATAACGTATCCTTCTAATGTATACAAAGTGTAGCCCACGTACTTCTAATTTACATACAGGCAACTAGTTCCAAATAAAATTTTGATCTTTCAGAAGCTCAAGCTCTATATTTCAGCCTTCCCTAGAAAGGGTTGTTACTTCAACTAAGATGAATAAACCAAAACCACATGGGTTTTGGGTATATTGCTGTTGTTTTATAACATGACAAGATTCCACAGTAGAATGATCACATTAAAGCTTTTTACTTTTATCTGTTTTCCAGTAGAGTTTGTATAGAGTTTGGAAACAACTAGTAGCACCCTCTAGTGAAATTAAACCATGATGAATGAGCTACATGTCATCATACAATTGCTGGAACAGGTGTTCAACTTAAGTGACCCTATTGCACTCATCAGGACATCAAGATGAGGGCAGGCTATCATCTCCCGTGCATACAACACGTAGCCTCAGTCACTTTTCCTTTTGCTAAAATAAGCTGCTGTGAGACTTTCCAGCTCTAGTCTATTTATGTATAAAGGTAGGGGAGATCAACTGAGCAGTTACTTCACCCATGACTACATATTTCTAAAAATACATTTTTCCAAGGATTAGACACAAGTTACTTGCATCTGTAGCTTTTATTTTTAAAAAAGTAAAGCTTTCTCATGCTAAACAAAATCAAAATTATATATAAACATAGCTGATTTTGCAGATCAGCATTACTAAAATGCTTTTATCATACTAAAAAATTACATAGAAGGACAGTTGTATTCCTAAAAACTGCCACAAGTTAATCAAAGGGTCTGAGTCAAGACATTTAAACTGGACAGTCATAAATATGAATTTCTTGGTCATCTCCAACAGATACAATTTTGGACCCACTTCCATTGTATTTCACTCCCCAAACCTGCAAATAGGACATACACAAGGTTATCAACAGGAGACTACGACAAAATGTCTTCATAGCAGTCATTTATAACAAAATGTCTTCATAGCAGTCATTTATTGACTACAACAAGCAGAAGAGGGAGGATTATTTAACACCATGTTATGAGAGCTAGTCCAATTACGGCTTCTGCTTTAACAGCAGATGAGGTTGATGAGCCAGAGAAGGACACTGCCATCTAGTAGGCTGACAAGTCCTTACATTCCACTCTGACAATGGCTTACACAATCTAAAGATACTTGAAAAAGGCTGAAAAGTACTTGCCCCAGTTTGCATAAATCAAACCTAACATTTTCACTCCTACCCATCCTGTCTTCCTTTCTGAAAAGAATATTTTACAGTGCTTTCGGGAAAGCAAGAGAGGAAGTATTTTTCATGCTGACTGACACATGACAGACTGAAGAATGATCCCGTTTATCCTTGGGCTAATTAAAAGAGCCATTTACTTATCGGTGCAAAACTTGGAAAAATTCAGGTCAGTCCTCTGACTTTCAGAGCAGTTACACAAACTCTTAAGTGACCCGCATCTCCATCATCAGGATGACATCAGGAAGACTGAAGGCTACCCAGCATATTAACATGGGATGCAGAATGGGTATACTAACAGCAGCATGTTTGGGGGAATCTCGTACACCATTTTGCATTAATACCTAAAAACCAGCCTTCCCAAGAGCTGATACATCTCTGCCTTCCACAAACTTAGGAGATTATAGACAACAGCTAAAACAACACTGGAAATCCAATTCTGCTTGGTACTTCAATACTAAAACCCCCACAGCTGTAGATAACTGAAAAGAAGGTTACCAGCTAAAAAGTACTATGAAAGAAAGAGGCCAAATAAAATCTGAAAGACTTTGTTAAGTCTTCCTCTATGATACATTAAAAAAATAGCATTATTCTATTTAGCACCTAACATTTTGAAAGATTAACTTCATAGATACCTAACTTCCCCTTCCCTCACGGGTAGCTATCACTGAGGGAAGGGAAAAAAAAATAAAATTACAGACATTTGAGGAGGAAAAAGTCCCAAGCTTCAAGGGTGCTTTCAAGCATCTTTTTAGATAATTCCATCCTTTTAAATAAGTATTTTCCACCCTTACACATGCACACACTGTGTAAGTGATAGAAATAAGTAAGACCGTAGACAAAAAACACAGTCTGGTAAGAATCCTTTTGGCCACTCAGGATTGCCCTTATTTGGACCTGAAAAATGTAATTACTTGGAAGAGATCAGCCTACACACTTGGAGTATTGGTTCAATATTAAGTGCCAAATAAACATGAACAACTTTTAAGATTTCATTACAGCAAACTAAAGTCCCACCCCGAAGCTATAGCACCAAGTTGAAGCACAAATGTACACAACTCAAGTTCTCCTGTGAACAGTGACCTAGATAAAGCAACAGTAGACATACCTGATCTTGGTGGTCAAAGAAAGTGTGAACACAGGTTCTCGTTCCAGCATCCCAAACTTTTACACTTTTATCAGATGAACTGAAAGAAAAATAATATTGATCAATGTTTAAATTAATAGATAAACTATCATTTAGTGCAAAGGTTAAAAGATCTCATACGGTAGACATAAGAAACCCTATTTCACCTATCGAATACAGGGATGAAGTAGCAAAGGAGTGCATCTTCCGCCAGGCTCCAGTTACCTTTAAAATCCAACATGAAAATGAAGACTCCCATTTTAGCCAGAAAATTCTTTGAAGCAAGTTCTTCGGATAAAGAAACTCCTGTTACATATACTTGGTCCCCCAACTGCCTGAGCTGTTTTAAGAGTTTACACTGAAGTTCATCTAGATTAATATACTACTACATTAGGTTGTACTTTTTAATTCAACAGCAATTTTTCAGCTATTTAGAATCAAGTTGTTCTTCTCTTAGGTTTAGATGTTCTTCATTTGTAGGGAACTACACTGCAGTGGGATGATTTACAGTATAAAATAAAATATTATTCAGTATAACTGGTATCACATCACAGGTTGGCTCTTGAGTCTTTAATTGTAATGTATGTTATTCCATTATAGACTCCATTGCAATTTGTACACATTTACTTTTTATGATCCACCTCCCTTTACAGATATAAATTTTTTTTTTTTCAGTAAGCATAAACAAATTAAAAATCCTCACTACCTGGAAACAAAATGGGTATCATCAGGACAAAACGCTACATTTAATACCCAGGATCCGTGACCACTTAATGTGCCAGCCAAGTTTGCATGTTGCCTGTGGAAAGAACAAATTTTGACGTTTGGTTTGTGAATTCCAGGGAAAAAGCAACAGGAATATACTCTAGCTAGTGCAGTCAGGAATGGTGCAATGCAAGGTCATGGAAGGTGACTTCTGGACATTTGTTCATCCAAGCTGAACTGATGTTACAACAGATTCTGTTTTTCCATTTCAAATGGTTAACATAAAAATAAATCACTAAGAAGATACATTGGTGGACAAAACACCACGAAGAAGGCAAAGTAATGCAGGTTTAGGGGAGTGAAGATCACTGAAGCAGCGCTTCTTCCTCCCCACGGTCTTCCAAGTTTTTGCACAATGCAACAGGAATAGGTCATAAATAGAATTTCTTGGGTACAGAAGAGATGTTTAAGATGGGGAAACTCAAACGCACAGGACAGACACAGAAAACAATTAGCCTGTTGCCTCAAACAATTAGCCTGTATTCCTTTCAAATATGAGGAAAGTAATTTGTTTTCAAGTTAAGGCTGTCATCCACCTACGCACTTTTTAAAAACTACCTAAGGGTGTAGTATTTTATTATTTAAGATTATTTATTACATAAAGAAGTCACCAAAAGCTGAAGGGAATTACAGAAGCTGAAGGGAATTATAGAAAGCAGAGGGTTTGATATATTTTTTACAGCCTCTCTGAATAGCTGTTTTGCATGTCTTGCAAAATAACAACTTACACATCGTAGATTTTGATATAGCCGTCATCTGAAGCAGTTACAAGTAACTGCGAATCTGGAGAAAATGTCAGTGAACGAATAGGCATCGCATGACCTAAAATTCAAAGTTATATATGGCTTAGAAAGTAGCTATTCCTCTTACTAATGACAGTGCTTAAGAAGCTACACAAGAACAGCATTCCCTGTTAAAAGAAAGCAACCTCTGAAGAGTCTTTCTCTCTATGCCTCTACAGGCTTCTTTGCACAACATAAAATGGAAACTGACAGTAACTCCAAACTTTGAATGTTAAGGCACGTCCACTGCAACAAAAAAGTATCTTTTTTTTCAGCTGTGGACCTTTATTAAAAATTATGTCATATTTTCTAATATGATTTCATATTGTTTAAGGGGTTGGGTTTTTTAATTAACTATACAACTCGACAGAAACAGCATGAACATTAAAAGCCTGTTAATCTGTTAGAAAAATGCACATCTTCCACAACATAAAATGTTTGGTTATTTTTTAAAACAGGAATAAATTACTATAAAACTGATACCATAGCAAAAAGAAAAACCATACACATGGCAGCACACATTTGGCTTAGCTTCACTCCCTTGTGCTGCACTGCAATACAAGAAGGAACTGCAATTTAAGAACTTAGTTAAGCATTACTGACTATATCTTTTGAGATAGGCATTTATGATGCAAGCCTGAGTTTACAGTTTGCCTCTAATATTTTAAGCGGTTTAAGTTACAGGACACTAAATAAATACTGTCCAATGGACAGAAACATCAATTCATTTATGCCATGGCTGTTGTATCTTACTCTGACTTGCATTATATCCTTTAATTTTGTTGAGGAACGAAGCCAGAACTTGGGTATTGCAAATACACAAACC